AAGACGTCTCAATCTCATAGCACCTTAAATTCTCTTCTTTATACTCCCTCTGTTTCATTATAGTTGATTTTCTAGGTTTTTTTTCTTGTTTTATAATATTTGATTTCCTACATTTAATTAATGCATGTCTCTTCTTTAAATTGAATGAATAATTTGCTTTACTCCATTAATGCACAGTTAAAAAAGAAAAAGTAATAATAAAAATAATGAAATCAGTTGTAAAAGTAACTTAATTAACAAAAATAAACAGTAAATAATTGGGCATTTATAGCTTTCTTAATCTGTGTGTAAATATTCAGAAAATCAACTATAATGAAACAGAGGGAGTATATTATATGCTATGTTTTGTTTACAATTCGGTCACAATTAGATTTAATCGGTGGTAACTCTTTGAATCTGAGCTTATTTAAGGATTCATGTAAACTGGAATTCTGATTTTTATTTTTTTTTGTTATGTGGTTTAGACATTGCCGAGTATGGGAAGCACATGTATGGAGAGGGAGTTTTTGGCTTTACAATCGGATCCATTGAAAACAAGGTTGGATCTGTTACTGTGATACACAAGCAAGCGACTGATAATTTGACACTGGTGAATGCATATGCTGCTTACGCCAGGAAGCTAAAGCTTGATGCTTCCAAGCAGCTGAAGCTATTTGAAGATTTGGGTATCAACCTCTTTGATTTGCAGTCAAAACCTAGTTTGAAATCTTCTGTGTCTGAAAACGGCAATGCTTTTGAGTAGGATACGTTTAGACAGCTTGAGAAAGAAGTGAAAGATAAGTTGAAGACAGCCAGGATGATGATTTTTGAGTCGAAAGAGAGTTGATATTGGTAATAGTGTATACTGGATTCGTTTTGGTGAAGAGCATTCCCGTAAGGTGATACTTCTTTTGTTACATCAGTACCAAAATCCTTGAGCTTTCTCATAATTGTAGTTTAGAAGACAGAGTTCCCTTTCCTGTTTCTGATGATGATTCCCGTTGTATGGTCAGAAGTTCAAATCTAGCCGCCTCGTTGGTATTGAATACATGTTTTTTCATCTTGTGCTACTTAATTTTACTATAATTTTTTTGAGTGATTCATTTAGTACTCCTACGCAGAAACTGCTACAGGTCGAGAGGAGAAGAAAAAGCAGAAGCAAGAGGAGAAGAAGCTTAAAGAGACGTGTTCCCAGCCCAACAATAACAAGGTCCTCTGTTTTGATGCAGAGTCTTCACTCAAAAAGAAATGGTTTCACTGGTCGATGCAACGATGATTTCGAAGAAGAAAATACCTGCAAAGAAACTGCAAAGCTTTTTGTTTCTAAACAAGCCTTCGTAAAATTTTCAAGAAAGCTTCCTTAAACATTAAGAAGACCTTGAGAAAGACATTGTAGATGTTTAGAAATAATATTGAAAAGGTTAGAAAAAGTTATGTAAAACTTCTAAATTATTTAACAAAATTTCCAAATTCTTATGAAGCATTCATAAAAACTTTTCAAAAAAGCTTTCATAATGTTTTAGTAAAACTTCTTTTTTTTTTTGGTCGTGTTTAGTAAAACTTCTTTAACATTTAGCAAAGCGTTCCTAATGGTTTTAAAAGGTTTCCTAAAATATTTGAAAAGCTTTGTAAAATATTAGTCATGTTTCATAAACCTCTTAAGCTTCCAAAATTGAATACTCTTAAAAAATGATTCATAAACCCTTCAAAAAACTTTTGAAGAAAGCATTCATCAAATTTGAGAAAACCATCCTAAATATTTAGGCAGGTCTTCTTAAATGAGTTAAAAGCCTTCATAAAATATTTTGTAAGAATTACGGAACACATTCTTAAAAGTTAAAAAAAAACTTCTTCAATATATAGAAAAGCTTCCTAAAACGTTTAAAAAGCTTCCTAAAATTCTAAGAAATCATTTATATTTCATAGATCTTTGTGATTAAATCAAGATGCATTGTGTGATTAAAAACTCTTTCAGAATTTTTTTTAAAAAAAAGAGTTTTCTGAAAGTTTAGGAAGCTTTACTACATATTTATGAAAGCCATCCAGATCTGTTCTAAAAATTCAGGAAGGTTTTTCTTAAACATTTAGAAAGACAATAACTAGTGGAACTTTAGCTATGTTTTTCTTTAACCCGATACTTTCAACTACTGGAACAATAGAATTGTTGAATCATGTAGTTTAGTGAGCTTGGGAAGAGAGCCTAATCTTGTAAATCACTTTAGGAATGATTTCTAATAGTTTAGGAATGTCTTTTTTAATTGTTAAAAAACCTTAATAGTAGATTTTATCAAAAAACCTTAATAGTAGATTGTTATGTGGATTCATGTCACAATAAATTGTAATGTTTGAATGCAAGTAATGATGGTGTTAATATGAAAAGAGATGTTCTTAACCATTTAAGATGCTTTTTTAAAGAAAATTCAGGAAGGATACTAATAATTTAGGAAGGCATTCTTAAATTTTTAACCAAACCAACTAAACTCTGAACGTAAAATAAGAAACCATAATTGGCTACCTCTAAGAATTGATAAAGAAGATTTATGAAAGCCTTATTAAAAGCTCAAGAAGGCTTCCTAAATTTAGGATTCTAAAAAAATAAAATATATATATATATATATAATATATATAGAAAGTTTTCATTAACATTTAGGAAGGCAATCCTAAAAGCTTATAAAAACTTACAAAAACTTATAAAAGCTTCCTAAAACATTAAAAAGGTTCCTAAAACATTAGAAATGCTGCAGATAGTAAAACATTAGATCAAAACAGTATTTGATCTAAACTCATTGCATAAATTGTTGTAGATTCAGTAAAAGTAAATCTAAAGTCTCATCTTCATTCATACATTGTCCTTTGAGCTTGATGAAACTTCACTTTTTTATTTTCTTTGTTGCTCATTGCTACCAGAAATGACTCCGCAACATTATCTTCAGGTTCCGTCTTCAGTTCAGACTCAAACTCTTGTGCAGCCTGCATCATAACAAAGCCCCACAAGCCTTCATCAATGCAAATAGAAAGACAAGTTAAAGGAACACAAAACATACAACTAGAAGCTATATATCTCAAAAGAATCATGAGCCGTAACAATTACAGTAAATTTCATAGAAAATCTAAAGCTAATAATATCACTCTAATCATTGAATCAAAAACATAAGTAGCGCTTTGTAAGTCTTCAAAAGAATCAAAATTTGAGAAGCTTTTCAGAAATCGAACCTAAAGCTAACAATATCTGATTGCAATTTGTGATGCACAAGAACACAATATAGACCGCTTAAGCCAAAATGAAATTCTCTATTGGAAATGATAGAATTTGTATGCTAAACTTCAACTTACTTTCTATCGTGCATTGTCATGTACCCACAAAACTTAGCCACATCAATAGATTAAGTTGCCTTTAGAGGGGTTCTCACCAGGGAGCATTGATCGAGCTTAGGGTAAGGAGTGTAGTCAAATGAATGAGGATCTTTGGGCTCTGACGCGGCGGGAATCAAAATCCCAGCCTTGGACGCTTCGACATCGTCACTCGCGTCTATGCTCTTTCCACCGGTAATTTCTTTGCCGACAAGTCATGTGACATCCCGATTTCTGGTATATGTGAAAAGGCTTATAAGAATTGATTTGATTATCTATGTATCAAAGTGCACTTATCTTTTCCAGTCAAGTGTCTTGAGAGAACTCCAAAGTTAAGCATGCTTATGCTAAAGTAATCTCAGGATGGGTGACTTACCAGGAAGTAGCATGTGGTACCGTGCGAGTGAGGAAAGCACGGGGAAATATCACGTGGTGATTGCAGGGATAGTAGACAACTCTTACAAGCCTCCTGGACCAAGCGATTCCCGACCGTCGGACAGGGGTGGGCCCATGGGCCTAGAAAGAGGCCAACCGTCGGACAGTGGTGGGCCAACTGGCCTAGAGAGAGAGGACGTTGGGCTCACTGGTAGGGACGGTTGGTGGATCAACGAGCCTAGAGAAAGGACGTTGGGACCCAGATTATACGGTGTTGGGCTCACTGGTAGGGACAGTTGGGGGCGTTCAGAGTTGATAGCCAATCCAGATGAAAGGCGGATTCGATGTCTCATGGATTTGATAGCCAGTCCGTCTGGTTCCCGGTAGGGAAGAAGGGAGCGGGATTTCACAAGTCCTCTCTCGCCGACGATCTTGACCGCGCCTGAATCGACAACGAGCCCAAGCTCATGGCTCTCTTCTCCTATCACCTTAATATCGTCCAAATCCACGATCTGATCGAGACTGACTCCACTCTCTCCATCTACATAGAGCTCGTCAAAAATTGTCAATAACAGATTGAGAGATATGAGAATTGCCATGAAGAGATGATATCTGATTTTTTCTTTTCTCAATTGAAAACCTGTTTCTTTTGTTAAGTTTTTTTTCTTAAATCTTTAATGAAGGCTATAATTGTCCACTTCTAAATGAAGGACTATATTAGAAAAAATTTAGCTTTCTATCTATGACCATTTCATTCAATTTCTCTAAATATAAATATACATATATTAAATATTTATTTTAAATATGTTTTAATATTAAAATTTGAGAGTTTGCTGATGTGTACACCTCTGTAGAGAAAACTCTCATATTATATAATAGATAGTTGTCCCCTTCTAAATGAATGGCTATATTAGAAAAAAATTAGCTTTCTAGGATCATTTCATTCAATTTCTCTAAATATAAATATATATATATATATTAAATATTTATTTTAAATATGTTTTAATATTAAAAATTGAGAGTTTGCTGGTGTGTACACCCTATATGGAAAGAAAATTCACCTCTTATATAATAGATTTGTTTCTGAACCTTTGACTTCAAAAAGTTTACCAAAATATAATTTATTGTAATTGACTATTAATAAATATATATCTTATAATAATATATTTTCAAATTTCAACCCATAAATAACATTTTTTCTTAATTAATCACAAACTGGTGTCTTGATCTTCATCCCCAGTTACGATTATAAATAAACTTCTGTAGACTGTAGTAATGAATCAACTAAGCGGTCCGGAAAAAAAACCGATTCGAAGCTGTGACAAAAACATCGGTTCGAATCGAGGCCGATTTTAGTAGAAGCGAAGCGCCCCTTCATTTTCATTCAACTCCAATTCTCCTTTGGGATCGCTTTTGCTACTTTTGATTCCATTTTCACCGGAAAATCCAGAATCTGTGTCGCCAAAAACGAAACAAAACCCTTCCTTCACCGTCCACTTTTCCGATATCGTCTAAGTAAGATTCCATCTCCTTGCTTTTGTTATTTTTTCTCCTAAAAAATCCGATTTTTTTATTACTACTATGTGTTAACACCCACTCGGATTACAGACAGAAGTGTTTGAATGTGTTTTTGTGTGATATATGTTGAATTGTTGAGAATTTACAAGCAAATGTCCCTACGGATACGTTTAGCCTTTAGAGTTTAGGGCAATTTAATGATGAGGGTTATGTTATGAATGAACATAATTGCTGACTTCATGTCCTAATTTTTCATGAAATCCAGAACATGGGGCAATTTAATGATGAGGGTTACGTTTCCCTTTTACTAGATTCTTCAATGCAGCATGTTTGTGAGTTAATGATAAAAGGGTTTTGATGGAATTACTTACTCTGTCTTGAAATTGTTAACTTTTGTCAAGTAGTGCCATTGTATCACTCTTAGGAATCTGTGTGCTTGAGCAGGATCATTTTGGATTTTGTGAATATATACATTGATTGGTTACTTGTTGTGACTGTGTGGATTGCTTCTCCCTTACAAATGTATATGTAGTCTGAAGTTTTTCTAGAAGAATCACTATTCAATCCATCTCTCACGTTGGTTGTTTTCTTTTCTTTGCAACAAGTATATCAATCTCGTTACTGATCAGTTGATTCGATTCTCATTAGCAGGTCTTGGTGTCTTGTCACTCCTTACCGTTGCTCGTAGTTGAAGTCCATTCAAAATATCTTGAAGTGGAAAGAATAAATTAGTAGGCTCCTAATGGAATTTAATAAAGAAGAGGGTAGAAGGGCTAGAGAGATTGCAATCAGGAGGTTTTTAGCGAATGATTTTGCGGGAGCTAGGAAATTTGCCTTGAAGGCTCAGTTCCTGTCTCCAGAACTCGATGGAATTGCGCAAATGGTGGCCACATTTGATGTACATTTATCTGCACAGAATATAATACATGGGGAGATAGACCACTACGGTGTTCTTGGTATTAACCCCGAAGCTGACGACGAAACAGTGAGGAAACGTTACAGAAAGTTGGCTGTACTGCTTCATCCTGACAGGAACAAGTCGATCGGAGCAGAGGAAGCCTTCAAGTTTCTCTCTCAGGCGTGGGCTATGTTCTCCGACAAGGCGAAGAGAGCTGACTATGACCTGAAACGGAACCTGGGATTGTATGAAGGAGGAAGAGGAGCTTCATCATCAAAGCCTGCAAACAACGGATCTCAGAAAGCTACTAAAGCGAAGAGCGCAAAGAGAGGTGTAAAGCGAGCAAGTGATGCCTCTGATTCTGCCTCTGCGGCTACTGCGACTACTTCAGCTCATAAAACAACTGCTGATGGAACCTTTTGGACTGTGTGCCGCACTTGCACAACACAGTATGAGTATCATCGTGTTTACCTAAACCAGAACCTCCGGTGTCCCAACTGTCGTAAGCCGTTTAGAGCTGTGGAAACAGATCCTCCAGGCTCAGGTTCGATCCGCCAGACCTTTCACGAGCACCAGTTGGACTCTATGCGTCAGATGACAGACGGAAGAGAGAAAAGCAGAGACAATAATGGAGTGTATGGTGAACATGATTCCTTTGAGTGGGGTGGTGTGCACACTGGAACCAAAAACCCTGGTCACGCTGCACAGACCGGGCCACGAAAAGACGAGGTTGTGCGTAGAGAGTACACCAAAAGAGTGGCTGGTGCTCCATCGACAAATCCTCCAAAAAGAAGAAAGGTGTTGGAAAATGCAGTTGCTGGTTCCAACACAGCAAGCTGTTCTGCTCCCAAGTCCAAGATTGTGAAAGAGTTTTCTGAGGAGGAGCTAAATAATTTGTTGAAAATGAAAGCTATGCGGGTAATCAGCAGAAAGCTACAAGAATTATCTACCATCGTTGCTGAAGCTGACGCAAACGGAAGGCAAACCGATGATCTCGATGTGGGCAATGAATCATGCTGTGTGGACTCTGTTGAAGGCACTTCAGCCTTTACAATTGATGTTCCTGAACGAGATTTTTGTGACTTGGACAAGGATAGAGCTGAGAAGTCATTTGCAGATAACCAATGCATATATCAAAATATGCCAATGCAAATATAAAATCATGTTTACAAAAAATTGCATAAGCCTTTAAAATAAACCTATGTAAAAAAACAAAAGACAAAAATATATTACTTTGAAGTAAACGTATTCTGTGATTGAGTTTTGAAATTCTCAATTCCAGAACAAAATTAGGTTTCTAAGAAAACTAATTAAATTAAAATATATAAGATTGAAGTATTAAGAAATATTATGATATATAGACAAAGTTATATTACAAAAGAAATCGTTTGTTATTTATGGTTAATATTGCATAAAATAAAAAAATCAGTGTTGCCTTTAAAGATGAAAATTAAAATTTAAAGAGGGCATTACAAGTGGTCACAAAAACAAAGGTGATGTAGATCTATATCAGATTCGTCATTTTTGTGGAAGATTAGGAAAATCTGAAGCAATTCAAGAGAATCTAATCTTGAGTAAGAGTTTAAAAGATGATCATTTAAGAGTGTGCTTAAATAGTTGTTTTAACTTGAGCTACTTCACAGATTATATTACAGACAGTTTGGACTCTCTTTGATGCAACCCTCAATCCCGCTCTTTCCAATGGTTAAACATCTCTAGAAAAGAACTATGTAAGCAACATGAGATGTAGTTCATACTCATAAGCATAAGATACCACCTATTCCGACAGCTAAGGATCATATCAGCAAAGATCACTATCATTTCTCCAATAGCAACAACATGGGAATAAGGGCTCTGGATCAGGAGGAATACTGGTGGAGTAAGGGCTCTGGATCAGGAGGAATGCATTGATTTGCTTGGGATAGATTAGGACTTGCTAAGAAAGAAGGCGGGCTAGGTTTCCGTGACATTGAAAGTTTTAACTTAGCCTTATTAGAAAAGCAAGTATGAAGAATACCCCAAAATCCTACCAGTTTGGTAGCAAAATTATTACGAGGGAGATACTTTCACTTTAGTTCAATACTCACGGCAACAACTGGTCCAAAACGGTCATTCATCTGGAGATCGTTATTAGAAGGTAGAGATCTGGTTAAAAAAGGAATGCGATCCTCATTGGTAATGGTGATATCATAAAGATTGGTTCTGATCCATGGCAGCCATTACATCCACCAAGACCTCCGATGTTAAACAATGCAGAAGCTGACGACCATCAATGTGTTAAAGACCTTATAAGCCAAAACGGGAACTCCTGGGATTCAGAAACTATACAGCAGGTTATTGCTGCAGATGATATACAACAATTCTAGACATCATGATCAGCAACACTTCAGAACCGGATCTGCTTGGATGGCACTATACTGATTCTGGGATTTATACGGTTAAATCTGTTTATTGGCTTGCAATGCACCTCCGTGGAGAAGCTGAAGTCACTAATCCTCCTCCAGGCTCAACAATCTTTAAAGAAGATATTTGGAAAATGAAAACTTCACCCAAAATACAACGTTTCCTGTGGATATTGCTCTCAAATGCTTTGGCTGTAGGATCCATTCTCCGGTATAGAGGAATAACTACTAATAGCCAATGTCGAAGATGTTGTGCATCAGAGGAAAGACCGCACCATCTGTTTTTCAACTGCTTACATGCTCAAGCGATATGGAGAGGGACTCAGCTGAACTATCGAGACTTTTTTTACCCTCAAAAATCTTTTGTAGACAAATTCAAAGGTATAATTCAATGTTACAGTAACATAAATCTCTCCTTACAGCAAAGACAGCTACCATTATGGACACTATGGAGGATATGGAAAAGCAGAAATCTCCTAGTTTATCAGCCGAAACATAATCATTGGAGTAAAGATTTACAATCTGCAATTAATGATGTTGAAGAATGGGTGACGATATGTCAAAAAGTAGAAGATGATTCTCAGATCAATGGCATCTTCAGAGGTAGCAATCACTGCAATGGGAAGAGATGGACAAGGCTTAAGCCTGGATTTGTTATATGCAATTACGATTGCAGCATTAAGGCAAATGAGGAATATACAAAAGCAGCTTGGGTAGTTCAAGATTCTGATGGTTTTTTCAAAGAACCTGCACAGAGTTAAAAGAGAAGACCCACTACAATACTTCAAGGAGAAGGAGACAACAAAATTGTGCATAAGTTAAATGGTGAGATGCTGAACTTAACTGTTCATAACTGGATCAGAGAAATCAGAGCATGGAAGAACAAATTTTCAGAGGTAATTTCCAAATAAGTACCCAGAGATAAATTAATTAAATCATTCCACCATGATCAACCTCTGTTTGTATTTCACTTTTATGTTCCTGATTGTATAAACTTGTTCGGTTGTTCCTCCAACATGAGGACTCCCTATCGTAATAAGAATGCTTTTGACGTTAAAAAAAAAATAGAAGAGATTAGCATTGGGTTGAGAGAGTTGTTGGAAGCATGGGACTTCTTCACGTGAACAAGTAAAGTATTTTTCTTCATATTTCTATATTGGTAGCGGGTTTTTGGCTCCTCCTACAATACAACTATGCTAAAATTCTAGAACACGTAAATGGTTTGGAAAAAAACAAATGAAAATTTTAGTAAACTAATTAGGTATAGCCGTATAGATTAATATTACCTTGGTGATTTTGTATGCTCTGAGATAATAAATTGAACACCACCTTTGCAGCTGAACAGGTTTAGTGTAACGTAGATCAAGGCAAAGAATGACGAGAAAACAGATAATTAAATATATAACGGAGGTAAAAGAGTTAGTGAGTAAACGAGAAAGGAAACCTAAATTGGGTGCATTGCTTTTCAAAGCATGACTCCTAAAAGTGTCTGAATTTGTCTATTCTTTATGATGGATGTTACATTTTTTTTTAGTAAAATTAGGTGGCAAGTAATGTTTCAGAGTTAAAATTAGATTTATTACAATATTCATTTTAATGGATCAGAAATTACTCACAACCCCAGTGAGGACCATTAAATACTTTGTCTATTTTTTACTTTACACATTTTCTCTCTCATTTTTCCACATTTTTCTTTCTTCACTTATCTCTCCATGCATTCTTTTTTCAAAAAAAAAATATTACTTTTTTCATTTTCTTTCTTCCCAAAAAATATTTGTTAATGATTTTGATAATAAATAAGTCGTCTACATTTATATGACTATTACGTCAGTAATCAAATACTTACATAACTAGATATTTTAATGCTTCAAATATTTTTTCATGTGTTTATTGATTTGATGATAAATTTCTCATCTATATTTAGACACATATTTCATCAGTAATCATCTAACATACTAATGATGCTTTAATGCTTTAAAAAGATTTCTTTCTTATGTGTATACATTTATTTATAGTCGTCTATATTTATATGACTATTTCTTCAGTAGTACCTACTTGAGTATTGACATAACTATAATTATGATGCTTTAATGCTTCAAATTACTTTCTTATGTGTTTATAATGAGTGATTTGGTAATAAATTAGTCGTATACATTTAGACAACTATTTCGTCTGTATTCATTTATTCGAGCACCTAAGTTAACATAACTATGAATTTTTTTTTATGTGTATACATTTATAGTCATCTACATTTAGACGACTATTTCATTAGTAGTCATCCACTCGAGCACCTATATTGACATAACTGTGATGCTTTAATGCTTCAAATTTTTTCTTTCTTATGTGTAACATTTATAACCATCTACATTTACACGACTATTTTATCAGTAATTACCTATTTGAGTACACATAAAAAACCTTTTCCTATAAATGTGTTTTTTATGTGTATACATTTATAGGCATCTATTTTTTTCTTTCATAACTATGCTTCAATTTTGTTTTTATGTGTTTATTGTGATCGTGATTTGTGATGAATTGGTCGTCTACATTTAGGTGACTATTTCGTCAGTAGTCATCTAGTCGAACACCTACTTTAACATAACTATGAAAAAACAACTTTTCTTATGGGTATACATTTATAGTCATCTATATTTAGACGACTATTTTGTTAGTAATCATCTACTCGAACACCTACATTGACATAACTGTGATGCTTTAATGCTTCAAAAAAAAATTAACTCGAACACCTACATTGTTATAATATTCATTTGAAGATAAGTTAGTTGTCTATATTTATACGACTATTTTTCGTCAGTAGTCACCTACTCGATACATTCATAACTCTGGTGCTTTAATGCTTCAATTTTTTTCTTATGTGTCTACTGTGAGTGCTTTAATGATTTAGTCATCTACATTTAGGTGACTATTTCATCAGTAGTCAAATACTCGAGCACCTACATTAATATAAGTATTTTAGAAACAAATTTTTTTATGTGTATACATTTATAGGCATCTACATTTAGACGATTATTTCTTCAGTAGCCATCTACTCGAGCACCTAGATTGACATAACTATGATGCTTTAATACTTCAAAAAAATTACTCGAACATCTACATTGTCGTAATAGTCATTTAACTTGTTAACAAGGACAAAAATAGGCATCTGTTTTAATTGTTGTGATAGTCATCTGTTTTGGAGTGCCTGGCTGAAATGCCATAAGTAAAAAAAAAAAAAAGCTGAAAAGTCATAGAATTATTTGTTTTTTTCTTATTTTTGATTTTCTTTTTATTATCCAAATCCAGGAAAATCCTCTCCTATCCCTTAAAGTTCGATTTATTTACTTCAAAACCTAGGTCAAACCAAATTTTTTTTGATATTTCGATTTAACTATTTCTGAAATCCGTATTTTCTTTTCATTTTCCTTATTTTCTTTCGAAAATCATCATTTTCTTCTCCTTTTTTCGAACTTTCTTCAACTTCCCACTCCTTATTTGAATCAGTTACTTTCGATTCAAAGGTCTTCACTTTCTAAACTTCCCCTTTCTTCCTGAAATCATGCTTCTCAACTTCCCCTTTCTTCCCACTTTTGTATTCAGGCGAAAATCGCCATAATCTTTAAGCCCTATTTGCGAGAATCCGGAATCTCCGGCTCCATATATGGCAAAGGTGACAAATAAGGGCAAGGAGTATGACAATACTTCAGCGGCGGAAGTCAAAAACCCGCCAGGAAATGAAAACGAGAATCTGGAAACTCCGGCGGAAAGAAAACCGGCTGAAACCGAGCACACCCAGAAAACGAGAACCCTAAAAATCCGGCGGAAGTAAATCCAACGGAAGAACCCGAAA